CGTCGCTGCCGTTTCCTAACGGCCTTCGCGGTGGCGGGGGAGTTTGGGGCCGCCAGTGGGCCGCGTCTTGCGCGGCGGCCGCGCCTCTCCTGCCCCTCCCTGCACGCGCGCCGAGGGGGTGCGCCGCCGCGGAATGCGGGCCCCAGGCCCCCGCGGCAGCGCGGGGCCAGGGGGTCGAGCCGGGGCGTTCGCTGAGTCCAGCTTCGGCTGGCAGCGCGAGCGACGAGGACCAGGAAGCCGTCGGCGGCCTGCGCGCCGCGCGGCGCTTCGGCCGCGGGTCTGGGATTGCAAGGGGGCCCGCGGCAGAGCTCCGAGAGATGCGAATTCAGGTCCGCGGAAGCATCCTCTCCGGCGGTAAGCACCCACGAGGCTTCCGCGCGCCCGCGGATTCACGGGGGGCCTCGGCACTGTCTCGATTTCTACTGCCTTTCGCAACCTCCGGGAGGCCAAGTTCGCGAAGCTGACTGCTCCGGTCAGGCGGGCCGATTGGAAGTGGTGGACGGACAACTGCGCTGCGAGAGGGTGGCAGCCTGTCCCAGTCACGGTGCGTAGGCTCGAGGTCGCAGCGGCACTCCTCGGAGCGCGCCAGCTTCCTTGTCCACCATCAAGCGGCACCACCTTGAGGGGGCGACGAGTGGGCGGACTTGCACAGCATGGTTGCGAAGGACACCCCGCGTGCATTGCAGCGTGGGTTGGGGCCGCCGCGGCAAGCATAACCTCTGCCAGTGGAGTCGCTCGTGGGCCCTAGCGTCGCGCCCCTCGTCGCTGCGGCCGCGAGGGGCCGCGGGAGGCAGTTGCCGGCGGCGCGCGCCCACCCGCCTCGCGAGTGAGACGGGCCGCGCGGCTGGGCCGAGCTCCGACTCCCCGTCTCCAGAGCCGATGCGTCAGCGAGCGGGGGGCTACGGGAGCGCTCGGCTGCTGCTGCCCCTCTCCCATGTTAGGGGGCCACATGCGAACCCTACCCCTGCCCCCCACGATTTCTGAGGGGGAGGGTGTGGTTCACTTCGTTCGGGAGCTCCCAAGCGAAGTGAACCCCACCCTCCCCCTCAGAAATCGTGGGGGGTAGGGGTAGGGTTCACGTGTGGCCCCCTACATGTGCCCCGTGGCAGCACTCGCGCGGGCGCTCGCCGCCGCATGCGACGTTTTTGCCTTGGGGAGCTATCCCGCGAGCCAGCCGCTTCCCTTCTTTTCCACCGCGGAGGGCCGGCCGCTCACGAAGCAGCAGCCCAGATCGCGGGCGCAGGCCAGACCCACCTCAGAGGGCATTCGGCCAGAGTGGCGAGCGCCCAGCGCATGGCCCTCGCGGGGCTTCACCAGTGGGTCATCCAGCTCTTCGGGAGGCGGGGGTCAGCGGCAGTTCTCCGCTGCGCCCGCGAGGCCTTCCTTGGTCGCAGGGGCGGTGGACTTGCCAAGGCGATCGATCTCCCCTGAGGCTACACCCTGGCTGATATCCTGGCCCGAGTGGACGCTGCCCGGTCGCAGACGGCAGCGGCGGGGGCGCGCTCTGGCGAGGGCAAGCGCAGCAGGCCGCCCCCGGACGCATTGTCGCAGACGGCCTTCGACGCTTCGCCGAGGAGTTCTTCTCGCAGCGCGCGGTGGAGAGCATCGAGGCGAAGCAGGTCGCTCTGGAGGGTGCTGTTTCCAAGCTGGACGCTTCTCTCCAGGCCATCGTGCCCATGTTGGAGTGCCTCCAGGGCGACGCGGTCTTGCCGTGCGTCCAGTGCGCAGGAGGACGACTGCGCCACGCGGCGAACCCGACAACTACGGTGTGTGGATGGTTGTGCGCAAGCGGCGCCGGCAGGCCGCGGGCCACTGCTGAAGGCCCTGGTGCAGGCAGGCAGTGCCGCACGTGCGCGCGCTTGGCAGCGTAGGTGGGGACGTCCGGGGGGTGCGCGGGGCTCTCGGCGGCCTTGGCGTGGGCGGCCCACGCAGAGGGCCCTTCGGGCCAGGCCTCTGGTCGGGCCCGCGCCGCGCTACGGCCCCACCACCGTTCCAGAAAATAGGAGGGCGGCCGCGGAGGAGGAACGTGGGTGGGGCGACCCAGGCGTAGAGAACTGTCGCCACCGCCACCAGGAGTGCGCAGGCGGCCTCTGGCGCCGAAAACCGGTGTGCGAGCAGGTGGGCGGCCAGTGCGAGCTGCCGCAAGGGGGGGGGGGGGAGGGGGCAGCGTAGGTCCCAGCGGAGAGGCAGGCCATCCGTCGCTGGGCGGCGGGCAAGCCGGACTATCTGCGATGCGCCGCCGTTGGGAGCCCGTCGGCGCGCTGCGTCCGACCGCGCGTGTTTTCTTTTTGTCGACAGCGACAAGCTGATGGGTTCCCCACGGCGGCGTGTCATGGGTATTGTCTGAGGTCGATGTCTGTTCATGGGAGCCTCGGGCGGCGACATCGAAACCGGGTTTTCCCGTATCTGGAGCGTACTTCGTCCGCATGTGGCCCTTCCTCCTGCTCCTCCTCGCCCCTCCTGTCCCTCATCCCCCTCATTTTTTTTGTCGTGTCCCGTGTGGATGTGCGAATCCGGTCCAAGTACGGTTCAAATTTGGTCCCATATATCTTCCAAGTCTGGTTCAAAATCATGCCCAAATCTGACAGCGCCAAGGACTACGTGGGCCACCATGGAACAGACACCGAACATGATTTCCTTGCAGCATTCTTCGAGCCGGATCGATCTGTGATGGTCCTGGGCCCCCCGTTATAAAAACATGATCGACCCACGAACCAGGAAAGGAATATAGAAATGTAAGGCATGGCAACGTTTCAAAGACACCTGAGTGGGCGACGGGCAAATGCAATGCTAAATGTATCGATTTTGATGTACTGTGCCGAGAGCTGTGCTGTGCTACGCCGTGCTGAACTGCGATGTGCCGTGCCGCGATTGTGCTCTATATATAGCGTTGTGGATCGAGTCCTCGTTGCCACCGAGTCCTGACCGAACTGGTCTGGATCTTAAGCTCGAGTTGCATGAGCAGATGGTAGCTGCCCCAGAGCTAATCGACAGACGTGACATGCCAGGAGGACGCGCCGCGGAACGTCCCAAGGGACGCGCCAGGCGACGTGCCAGGGGACGTGCCATGGGCACGCACCGCGGGACGTGCGAAGGGGGCGCGCTACGGAACGTGCCAATGGACGTGCCGCGGAACTTGCCAGGTGACGCGCCGCGCGACGTGCCAGGTGGACTCGCCACGGAACGCGCCAAGGAGCGTTCCAAAGTGCAATGTTCAGTGTATCGATCTTGATGTACCGTGCCGAAGGCCGTGCTGTGCTGTGCTACGCCTTGCTGAACTGCGATGTGCCATGCCGCGATTGTGCTCTCTCTCTCTCTCTCTATATAGCGTTGTGGATCGAGTCCTCGTTGCCACCGAGTCCTGACCGAACTGATCTGGATCTTAAGCTCGAGTTGCCTGAGCAGATGGTAGCTGCCCCAGAGCTAATCGACAGACGTGACATGCCAGGAGGACGCGCCGCGGAACGTCCCAAGGGACGCGCCAGGCGACGTGCCAGGGGACGTGCCATGGGCACGCACCGCAGGACGTGCCAAGGGGACGCGCTACGGAACGTGCCAATGGACGTGCACCGCGCGACGTGCCAGGTGGAACTCGCCACGGGACGCTCCGCGGAACGTGCCAGGCAACATGCCAGGCTGCAATGTTAAGGGTATCGATATTGATATACCGTGCCGAGGGCTGTGCTGTGCCTGGGCGACCTGGACACGTGAAAACACGCGTTTCGCTCAAGACGTTCTCAGCACATCCTCATGCTAGACATCCGCCTGGGCGACCTGGACACGTACACGTGAAAACAAGCGTCTCGATCGAGACTTCCTTGACACATCCTCATGCTAGACATCCGCCTGGGCGAATTGGACACGTGAAAACAAGCCTCTCGTTCGAGACATCCTCAACACATCCTCATGCTAGACATCTGTCTGGGCAACCTGGAGGCGTGAAACCAAGCGTCTCGCTCGAGACATCCTCAAGACCTGGGCACGTGAAAACAAGCATTTCACTTGAGAGATCCTCTGAATTCATGTCCTCGGGAAAGGACAATCTATAACACAAAACAAGTGTTTCGCTCGAGACATCCTCAACACATTCTGAAAGCAGAAGCGTTTCGCTCGAGACATCCTCAACATTTAATTCGCCGGCCCTACGCGACCTCGTTATTTATTGCAAAATCTATTCGCCGGCCCATCAGCCGTCAGATCCGGGGGTAAACCTCTGAAAGAGAACCCTGGGCCTACGCCTTTTCCGGGAAAAAACAACGCTTAGATCTCAAGGTCCCCCCGGGCTTTGTTTTCGGACCATAAATCGGGCCTCCAACGGCCGTTCGAGACGATCTGGTAACTCTCGGAACGCTTCTAGAAAGGCGCACCTGCTGGAGATCATCTCGAGGCGAGAAAACGTCCAGGAACCGACGAAAACGCTCCCAAAACCTTTGAACCTCGAAAACGCCCGTTGTGAAAAAACGGACACAGTTTTTTTTTATTCCTGCGGAGGTAAATTGCGTTACCGGGGGTGGGTGGGAAGGGGAAGGGGAAGGGGAAGGGGATCCGGCTCTTCCAGATGCGCACCAGAGGCCCATCGCAGGCCAGTGCGCCGCGCGGGGATGTTTACGCATAACCAGAAGCCAACTCGGCGATCAGCCCGAATCGTGACGTTAGCTAGGGGGGAGGGGAGGGCGGCTGGGGCCAGCAACGGCCGCGATCGCGAAAAACAAGCAATGCTATCTTGTAGCGCCCTGATCTCAGGGTTGTCTTGGCTGCCCCCTAGGTCAGAGCCCCGAATCATCAGGGGTAACTCGGGTCAGGGTTAACTCGGGTTCGTTTTTCGGGAATCCGAGCCCGAGTTACCCTGGACCCGAGTTACCCCGGATAATTCGGGCGTCCAGAGCCCCACATCATCAGGGGTAACTCGGTTCAGGGCTAACTCGGGTTCCTTTTTCGGAAATCCAAGCCCGCGTTACCCCGGACCCGAGTTACCCCGGATAACTCGGGCGCCCAACTAGGACCTGGACACTGCGGCGTGCGTCGGAGACCTCGTGGCCCCGCCGGGGCACGGCGCAGTGCTGGCGGCGGCGCTCGCGGGGACGAAGGCCGCCACCGGCGCCGCCGACGGCGCCGTGCGGCTCTGGGATCTGGAGGAGCCTTCTCGACCCTCGATCCCATCCTCTATCCTTGAGCTTCCTCGATCATCCTCCTCGGTGCCTCCTCGATCCTCGATATTCCTCGATCCTTGATCCTCCCCGTTTCTCGATGCCCCTCGATCACCGACCCCCTTCGATCCTGCTCGGTCCTCGATGCTCCTCGACCCTGCTCGATCCTCTTCGACCCTGCTCGACCCTGCTCGATCCTGGACCCTCCATCCTCGACCCTCGATCCTCCCGATCCTCGACCCTCGAGCTGGAGGAGATGGCGCTCGTCGGCAGCCTGCTCCCGCCGGGCGGGGCCGACGGCGCCCCGGAGACGGGGCTGCTCGCCCTGGCGGTGGACTTCGGGGCTGGGCGACTGCTGAGCTGCGGGGTGGACGGCGCGGTGCGCCTGTGGGACCTGGAGGAGATCCTGCTTCGACCCACCTCGATCCACGAGGGACGCAGCTTCTCGAGGCTCGAGGTGTTTTCGTGCGCTTTGGTCGCTTCTGGGCGACCGGCCATCCTCGGGATGCCTTCCAGCGGCTGCGCCTTGCCGAGAGCGTTCTGTGGGTGCCCGTGCCGTCCCGAACGGCCGCTGAAGATTCAAGTTGCGACTCGAAAACCGGACGACGGGTCCTCCTCGATCCTCAACTCTCGATCTTCGGCCTTCGATGCTCCTCGATCGATCCCCCTCGATCCTCGGTCCTCCTCGGTCCTCCTCGGTTCTCAGAGGAGGGCGAGCTGAGACAACGGTAGTTGGCCTTCGGGGGACCCTCTTGTCGCCACGGCTGGACGCAGCGCGGGGAACTCGCGCTTTTGGGCCCCAGGAGGGGTCCAGGGGCCGATTCTAAGCACTTCGATCCTCGATCCTCTGACATGCTCGCGTCGCGGAAAAATCACGACGAACGGTTTTGATTGTTTTCGGTCTCTCGTGACCCCAATCAGGCCCTGGGATCATAAAGAAATGGCTCGGGATGACAAGCCGGTCACCGTGAAATGGGCCAGACCTCTGGGGAGTCACGTGGAGGGTCCTCGATCATCCTCGATCTTCCTCGACTCTCCTCGTCTCTTGACCCTCCTCGATCCTCCTGGATCTCCTCGATCCTCGATGCTCCTCGCTCCTCTTCGATCCTCGATCCTCGACCCTCCTCGAACTTCCTGGATTTCATCATCGATCCTCGATCCTCGATCCTCGATGCTCCTCGATTCTCTTCGATCCTTGATCCTCGACCCTCCTCGATCCTCCTGGATCTCATCCTCGATCCTCGATCCTCAATCCTCTACCTTCTCGGTGCTCCCCGACCCTGGTCGATCCTCGGGTCGCCTCGGCCCTCTTCGATCATTCGGGCCTGTTGGGACCTCGAGGCGCCTGCGGCGACGGCGGCGCCGACGGCCCAGGCTTCCGACGGTGCGATTGTTGTTGCTTCGGTCTGGGCGTTTTTCCTCGACTTTGGCCCACGGGTGCCGTTCGTCGGGCGGGGCTGCCTTCAGAGCTTGGCGTTGCATTTTTTCGCAACCGGCGTTGTCGCCCGGTTGCGGGCCCAGGGACCCTCATACCTCGATCCGGCTCGAAAATTGAAACAGATAGATGGGGTCCAGGGCTCCGTTGGTGTTTATTGTGCGACGTTGCCTTTTCTTGCAACGTTCGTTCTCAGTTCTGAGGGTCGGACAAGGATAAACCTTTCCAGAGCGTTCCAGAATGCTCTCGGAGCGATCTGGAACGCTCAGATAAGGCCGCGGCGCCCGAGCCGCCGCTTCTCAGAGACTCCCGCTTTTTGTCCCTGTCCTGGCTTCGTCTCACTGGGTAGTCGAAGGCCAGACTGTCAGATTGGATTTGGCCCCAAGGGCCAATCTGGCCCGGCCAAACTGGATGATTTGGGTCATTCGCCAGACTGGATCCGCGTTGGCTCCCTCGCCAGATTGTCCCCGTTTGCCAGATTGGGTCTGCCAGATTGGCGCCAGATTAGCTTCGACTACCCAGTAGTCTCAGTTCGCGGGCTCCGGGGGCAGTCAAACGTGGGCCGGGGAGTACAGCTTGCTCCTAGACGGCCCACAGCCCACAGCAGGGGGAGCCCCGTGTATAGCTCCACGGTGGAAGCGCGGACCTCCGCCGGCATGTTTTTTTTCCCTGCCATCCCTTGGTTGGGTACTCCAGATTTCGTAATAAAAGGGAGGGGGTCTGGACCCTCCAAGACAAGCCATTTCAGACCTCCCCCGTGGGAGAACCCTCCAAAACATCGTCCCCAGACCCCTCCAGGCCCTCCAAGATTGCCTGGAAGAGACCCCCCCCGAAATGAGACCCCCCTCCCTTTATTACGAAATCTGGAGTACTCGTTTTGAATAGAGCAGTGTTGGCCCCACCTTCTCCATCTCTTTCTTCCTGTCCTTCATCCCTCGCTTCTCACCGCCTCCCCTGCATCCCCTCTTCTCAGCCCCCTCTTTGTCCTGTTTAGTCGTCCTCTCCCTCGTCGAGACCTCCAGGCTCCCTGCGGGGTTGCGAACCGCGCAACTGTCGCCATTTCCGTGGGCTCCTGGGAAGTAACGGAAAGAGCGAGGTACGAGTGATGAAGTTCTGGTGTGGGCGAAGCCCTAAAGGGAGGGGTTCAGGGGAGGGGGGTAGCGTGCGCATTTGAGTGTTAATGGCCGTTTTCGGCTTTTCCGTTGGGTTTTTGCATGTTTTTCGGGTTCCCCCCCAAGACGGCCCAAGAGCGCTCCAAGAGAGCCCAAGTCCGCCCAAGACGGCCCAAGAGGCCAAGGGGCGTCCCAAGAGGGCCCCAAGAGGCCGAAATCATCGATTTTCCAAAAGGAAAACGTATATTTTTTAGCATATGCGCTTTGTCAGCTTTCACGGCGTTGACGACGGCCCAAAAGGCCCCCAAGACCGCCCCAAGACGGCCCAAGAGGCTCCCAAGAGGCCCCCAAAACGGCCCAAGAGGGCGCCAAGACGGCCCAATAGGCGCTCAAGACGGCCCAAGAGGGCGCCAAGACGGCCCAAGAGGGCCCCAAGACGGCCCAAGAGGCGCTCAAGACGGCCCAAGAGGGCGCCAAGACGGCCCCAAGAGGGGGACCACGAACCGAAAAGTCTAGCCTTTCGCCCCAAGACGCTCCCAGGAGGCCCCCAGAGCCCCCCAAGAAGCCCCAAGAGGCCCCCAAGAGGCGCCCCAAGAGGCCACCGGGAGGCGAAACTTATTGATTTCCGGTGGGAAAATGTACATGTTTCGCATACAAGGCTTTTCGGCTTTCACTGCGTTGAAGACGGCCCAAAAGGCCCCCAAGACCGCCCCAAGACGGCCCAAGAGGCTCCCAAGAGGCCCCCAAAACGGCCCAAGAGGGCGCCAAGACGGCCCAAGAGGCGCCCAAGACGGCCCAAGAGGGCCCCAAGACGGCCCCAAGAGGGGGACCACGAACCGAAAAGTCTGGCCTTTCGCCCCAAGAAGCTCCCAGAAGGCCGCCAGAGCCCCCCAAGACGCCCCAAGAGGCCCCCAAGAGGTTCCCAAGAGGCCTCCAAAAGAGCCCGACAAGGGGTCCAATAGGACTCCCAAGAAGGCCCAGAGACGCCAAATAGAGAGCGATCGGTAACGCAAAAAGCTCTTCACACCAAGGCTCCCAAGAGCGAACGGTGACGTAAACAAGCTGATAAGACCAAGGCTCCCAGCAGAGAGCGGTGACGTAACAAGTTCCTGACACCAAGGCCCAGCCAAGGCTCAGGAACGGGCGGCATCGCAACAATCTCTGAACACCAAGTCTCCCAAGAGCGAGGGGTGACGTAACAAGCTCTCAACGCGAAGGCTCCCAGTACGAGCGGTGGTGTGAGTAATTTTGGTTTCTGTTTCTGAAGCGCTCTTTCCGTTTCTGTGCCGGCCCAGGTTCAGCGGAGTGGAGGTCTACGCGGACCTGCCGAGACCTCGCGGGCCCTGGAACCGCGCAACTGGCCTTGATTTCGTGGGCTTCTGGGAGGTCCCGCGGAGTCGAGGTCCCCGCGGACCCAGCCTAGACCTTGTGGCTCCCTGGGGGCTGCGAAGTGCGTGTCTTTCATCATGTTCGTCTGTGTTGAGTGGGCCTTAATATGGCTGCCCCGTGTCAGAAAAGGGTCGGGTACGTAATCGGATGCGTTTTTTTTGTGATTTTCGAACTGGCGGTGTTTCCTCGATTTCAGCGTTCGAGGGTCGTTTTCGGGACCCGGAACAATCGAATTAATCAAATACGGATCCAGGATCCAGGATGAAACGCTACCTTCGGGCAAGGGGTCGAGAGTTTTGGGGCCGCGCATTTCACAGACTGCATCGGCGGATGTCAAAGTAGGCGTCAGCGCCGCCGTCGTCTTCGTTAGGGGGCCACATGCGAACCCTACCCCTACCCCCCACGATTTCTGAAGGGGAGGCTGGGGTTCACTTCGCTCGGGAGCTCACGAGCGAAGTGAACTCCACCCTCCCCCTTACAAATCGTGGGGGGTAGGGGTAGGGTTCGCATGTGGTCCCCTATTCGTCTCGGATGAGGGGGGGAGGGGCCAATCGGTACTGGAGCCGCTCCCAGGGTCCGTTCCTGACTCGTTTTTTCGACGCGGATTCGGCCGTGGCGACAAGAGGCTCCCAGGATCGGAGGGCACCAGTTATACACCAACACCGATCCTGGCCAGGATCACCCTGGGCCCAGGATCGGTGTACACGCCCTCCTGCCTGGGGCAGGAAGGCATATACACCGATCCTGGGCCCAGGACTGGCCTGGCCAAAATCGGTGTAGGTGTATAGTTGGTGCCCTCCCACAGGAGGCCCCCAGGAGGTCCCCGGAGAGGACGACGACCGCCCGGGGAGTGCCGCCGCTGTCTCGACGGGCCCTCCTCCGGCCGTCGCCCTCGGGAGGCGAGGCGTCTCCTCGGCTTTTTCTCCTCGACCACGCGGCGTTCTCCTCCTCCTCCTCCTTCTGCTCCTCCTCCTCCTCCTCCTCAGAGGAGGAGGAGGAGGAGGAGAAAGCCGAGGAGGACTTCCTCCTCGGCTTTCTCCTCCCATGAGGTCCGACGTTGTGACAACTCACAGCATCGCAGGAAATCAAGAGGGGAGTCCCAGAGCCTGTTTTTCTCTGCTGCACTTTTCGAGCCAGATCGGTATGTGATGGCTCTGGGGCTGGAGAGCCACCGAACAAGTCCGTATTGAAAAAATACAACGCCAGGTTCGGACCTTTCGCCCCGTTGATTGCATCGGCTTCCTCAGCGTCCTCCTCGGCCTCATCGCTGGAGGCGATGTGCCTCCTCGACCCTCTCCTTGGCCACGTGGCTTCCTCGGCTTCTTGCTCGGCTTCCTCCTCGGCTTCCGCCTTCAGCTTACGTTGTCTATGGCCAACCAAGGAAGTTCGTCCGCGTGACTTGGTGGATGTCCTGGCTAGGGCGACATCGGTCTTTGCATGTCGGTGAGGAAGCCAGGTCTTTTACTGCAATTGGAGAAGTCAGGGCACGTGGCGGTCACGCCCAAGAGTGCGTGTCACTTCAAGGGCCTGGCAACCCTGCGCAGCCTCAAAGGCAGTACGTACATGAGGTGTCTTGGTCATGACCTCTCAGCGTCCTCGGCGACGCGCACGGTCCAGAAGACCGGGTTCAAACAGATGCGCGGGCGCCGACACCGCCTCCATGCTCTTCGGCGCCGTGCTGGACCTTCGAGGGCAGCCAGGATCTGGAGTACGGGTGTACTCCATTTGGTGGGCACGGTGCTGCTGTTAGTAGGGGCAATGATGCCGAGTTGACGTAGATGAGGAGCTTAACTGGCAGCCTTTGTGGATATTGTGGTTCTGGGTGTCTCACTTTTGTGGTCGCGCACCCTCCTTCTCAAAGAAACACTTTGTATTTAGCCGTTCAGAAACAGTCGAACTACGATCCAATCTATCATGTGACGTGCAGCGTATTGGTTCAGCATGTTGAGTGAGTGTAAGAGTTGAAATGCTCTCCCTCACGACTGCAGCGGGCTTGGATCGCCCTCTCTGATAAGGTTGCAGGTTTGCATGGAAATAGCAAATCGGCTATCACCAACGGTCCGCAGTCGGGGTTTCTGCTCACCTTGAGACGTGTAGGGTAGGACATGGCCAGCTCAACTGTGCTGGTCGACGATGAAGGGCCCACATCTCATTGTTGCGTTATTCACCGTGGGGGGAGAATAAGCTCATGTTTCGCAGTCTGGAGAGGTGGCAGATTTTGGATCCTCTGCCTGGTTCTCTATCATCTTCGTCTTCATCACCTAATGCCATCTTCAGGTATGGTGTTTGGTCACACCTCCGTGCTTCGAGTGCTTCGTGTGGCGTTTGATCACACCTCTGTGCTTCGAGCGTTTCGAGTGGCGCCTGTGCTTCGAGCGTTTCGAGTGGCGTTTGGTCACGCCTCTTTTCCTGCCAACGCGTCCACCTGTACGCAATGCTGCCTGGTGCTCCGCAGCGTGGGGACGATGGCAGTCGGCGGCGCGTCTGGCTTCGTGTACTGCGAATTGGGCTCCTTCAGCCTCTGTCCGTCGAGTTCGCGGCGCCCTTGCCAAGCTGCAGGCCAACGGTTTCTGGTCGCCGCTGTTCATCCATCAACAGCAGGAGCCCGAGGAGCACCATCCTTACCCTGAGGACGTCTGCAGCACCAAGGACGCTCTGTTCGAGAGTGCTCGGCGAGGCGTCGGCGCGGAGCTAGACTTCACCCTGGTCGAGGTCCTCTACGCGATGCCTCTGCTGCCCGATGAGCTCATGTCTTTGCCTGTGGGTGAAGAGGGGCCGTTCGCCGCGCATGGCCATGCAACATATAATACATGACACTGGCGACTCTTGGCCTGATAGCGATTTCCCCGAGGTCCGCAGGACCCATCCAATCGGTTCCGAGGGCCCACAGGCACGCGGCCCTCAGGGGCTCGGGGGTGGCGGCGAGACCCACGACGGTGGTGGCTGACATGTAGGGCTCCAGGCCGAGGGGGACGCTCTGGGCAAGCCGGCAATCGAGGGCTGGAGCTCCACGTGCTTCTGTGCTGCGTCAGATCCACGAGCTGCGAAGATCGCCCAGCTCTCCGCAGCGTTGAGGAAGGGCTCCGCGAGGCTCTGCAGTCTGGGTCGCCCCCCCCCGACACATTTGTCGGGAACATGTGGGCGGATGTGTTTGCCAAGGTCGGGGCCTTTGAGTTGAGATTGTGGGCTCGGCCTCCGTCGTTAAATTTCACGGGTTTCTCTTGGCGCGGGCCACAGCTACAATGGAATGCTTGGCGTTCGCTGCGGAGCGTGTGGCTGAGCTTGCTACGCTCGTCGTCTCACGTCCGATCGAGGGAGCCGTTCGTCAGAGGCCGAGTCGCAAGCCTATTTCCCACCTTTCTGTTGCTCCCTGGATGTAGGGTTGTGTGCACGGTGTGTTGGGGACTGGCCTCCACCCCATCATTCCTCACCTCCCTCTCCTCCCGCCGGTATGATCCCAGCAGTATGGCCCTGGCCACCTGATCAAGGAGCCGGACAGGACGATCATGTGTGTGTGCGAGGTGGAACGCACGCTGTGCGCCCCAGTTGTCTCACGCGCGTCTGCAGCAAAGCTAGTGGTGGGGCGGCGGGGAACCACGGGGCGGGGACTGTCTCGAGGATGATGGAGCTGGCACGCAAAGGCGTTCACCCAAAGACGGGGGAGAGGCTGGAACCGCTAGTATACTCTGAGCCAGTGCCACCGCAGAGCGCGGCCGCCGCCAGCTAATCTCGCACGTGCGCTGAGGTGTTTGCTCGCGTGTGTGTGTGTGCGTGTGAGAGAGAGAGAGAGTATTGTTCATGTTTGTGCACGCGTGCTGTCATGCATTTGTTGTTTGTCTGTTTGTTTGTTTTTTCTATGTTCTCTCTCTCTCTGTCTTTCACGGGCTTCGCTCCCGTCTCGGTTGCGCTTCCTGTGCACCGTTCGCACTGTTCCTCCTCGGCTCCCTCCTCGGCTTCCTCGGCCTCCTCCTCGGCCTCCTCCTCGGCCTCCTCCTCGGCCTCCTCCTCGGCCTCCTCGCCCGAGGCGATGTGCCTCCTCGGCTGCCTCCTCAGCCACGCTGGCGTCGTGCGCACGCTGGCCGCGGACTTCGGGCGGCAGCGGGCGCTCACCGGGGCGGACGACCGGAGCGTCCGCCTGTGGGACCCCCGGGCACGCAGGAGGAGGAGGAGGAGGAGGAGGAGGAGGAGGGAGGAGAGGAGGAGGAGGAGGAGGAGGAGGAGAGAGGAGGAGGAGGAGGAGGAGGAGGAGGAGAGGAGGAGGAGGAGGAGGAGGAGGAGGAGGAGGAGGGGAGGAGAGGAGGGAGGAGTGGAGGAGGAGGAGGAGGAGGAGGAGGAGGAGGAGGGGAGGAGGAGGAGGAGGAGGAGGGAGGAGGAGGAGGAGGAGGAGGAGGAGGAGGAGGAGAAGGGCGGGCCGCACTGGCGAGGCTCCGCGTAGCAAGCGCGGGCGTAGGCAGACGGATCGTGGCGCGCCTCGGCGACGCGCCAGGCCCCCCCACGGCGGGCCCCCCCACGGCGGGCACCCGACGGCGCTGGGTGCCTGGGGCCCCCGCCGCCTCTCAAGCGGAAGGCAGCCTACTCCGCGAGTGGCGGCACCGAGGTGGCGCCTCCTCTCGTCGTGTGGTGTGTGAGTCTAGTGTCGTTGGCCGTTTTGGTCTCAGCGGATACCCGCGTGCCGCACGTTCGCTTCCTCTCTCAGGTCTCGGTTCACTACATGAGCTTGCCCATCGCAGGTAGGCATGTGTGGGGTTCCCAGTTCGCATGGCGACCTTATGATTCGCACAGCGGTCGAGGCCGAGTCGTGTGAAGTTATGTGACCGCCCTCGATGTATTGCCATGCTCTCTCTCTTTCTCCTCCTGTCCCTTCCTTGCTGGCTGCCTCATCGATCGTCTCAGTCTTGTGGTCCCCGTGGTCCAATCCATACCCGTTCCAGCTGCTGCTACTCCCTTGTCTAACGCCATCAATGCCGAGCGGCACTCTCTGCCACTTTTCAGTAAGCATCGTGCTCGCGCGCTGGCCGCCACCGTGCGGTTCCAGCTATAGAGGTGATACCGGAGACAGGTGGCGCATTGGCGCGCCTCATGGTACGTTGAGGAAGAGGAGGATGAGGAGGAGGACTTATCCAGACGAGGCGGAGGGTGCAGTTTTCCAGGATGATGATGATGAGGAGGAGGAGGAGGAGGAGAGGAGGAGGAGGAGGAGAAGGAGGAGGAAGGAGGAGGACCATTCCATCCTCGAGTCGTGCAGCATTGACGATGGGATGCTCTTGAAGGTTTTTGGCTTTCGGAGGCCGTTGCTGGCCCCCAGGATGGTCAAAAACGACTGAGGATGAAAAGCCAGTTCCAGGGGAGATGTCCACACCACCTTTGGCCTGCCTCCTGCCTCATCCTCCTCATTTTCCTCCTCCTCCTCCTCCTCCTCCTCCTCCTCCTCCTCCTCCTCCTCCTCCTCCTCCTCCTCCTCCTCCTCCTCCTCCCCCTCCTCGTCCTCCTCCTCCTCCTCCTCCTCCTCCTCCTCCTCAGGGTACCTTAACTCCTCCTTTTCCTCCTCCTCCTCCTCCTCCTCCTCCTCCTCCTCCTCCTCCCTGGCGGCCCTCGCGATGCAGCTGCAGGCCTCCCTCAGGACGAGGAGGCGACCGACGAGGACATGCGCAGCGCGTACAAGCGGGTGCTGGACTCCTACACGCTCGTGGCCAATGAGCACAAGGGGAAGAAGAAGGGTCGCCAGGCCCCATACTGAGTCGGTGGCCCCTCAGATTGGGCCCTCTGAATGTGGGAAGTACCATGTACACCCCACTAGCCGATGCCACGTATTCCCCCACGTACCATGTACAACGGGGCTGGCGTGTTTGGTGCGTTACCTCTTGCTCCATGCCATGCTGGTCGGGGAGGCATCACAGGCCGCTCACTTGTGCTCCCGTCCGGGCCCGGGTCACAGGGTGAGGGTCTGGCATTGTCGTTGTATTGGCAATGTTTACACTGGGTGCAGCTGGTTGCACTACGTTGTCCCATCATGTCCCAATTTCGGTCTGACTGTTGCAGGGAGGGCGTTCTCTCCAGTCTTTAGTCTTCGAATGCAGGGATGCCATGGAGGCGGCGGCAGGAAGTCCCATGGACGGAATGCCAGCAGTGGATGGATGGGCGACTCCCATCATGCACGTGGCGTCCTGGCATGCCGTCCCATGGACGAGTTGTCACTCCGTTTGCCTGACTGAGATATGGGCACAATGTGCAGGTAGGGACAGCCTGCGGTGCCTACCTGCAGGCCCTCCTGCCGAGGATGCCGGGATATCTGGCTATGCAGCGAGGACCGCCCATGGAATTTACTTGCTGTTCTGGTGCATACTCGTGACTCTGCTTAACTTTGGAGCGGCGGGTGCCCCCAGCTGGAGCGGGCAGGCCCATGTTGAGGTCACGACGTCTCCAGGCTTCCTTCGCAATTGGCGAAAAGGCCCTCGTCGGTATGGCCAATGTGGCTCTGTGGAGGCTTCGGCTCCCGATGCCCATGATGTCGCTGTCCGGGCGGAGTCGCATGTCATGGAGGGCCAGGTGGAGGCGCATTTGGTGACTGTTAACCCTGGGTCCCATGGACCGATTCTCAATGTCCTGCCGCACTTTCGTGGCAAGGTTTTGCTGGTGCAGGGAACGCGAGTGGTTCACCAGCGGCTTGGGGCTGTTCAGTCGGCCGTGCGGGACACTGGCTGGCATGGGCTGTGGGCTCCTGCTGAAGACACAGGGGCGTCAGTCTCCGCGTGCTCTGGAGGTGTGTGTGTGTCCTAGCGCCCACGGACGTTATGATTACCATGTCCCCTGGCGGTGACCACGTTGTTTACCCGCACCATGTTGTGGCGGTTCACGTTCACTGGGGTGTGCCTGGAGGGCTGATCGTCGTAAATGTATACTTGGTGCAAGGGATTGGCATCACAGGCCCTAACCTGTCTATTCTCTGGGCCTTGGCGCAACGCGTCGCGGCTTGGAATGCGCGCGGGCTTGATTGGATCATCGGGGGTGACTGGAATGGTGACGGCCAGAGCATCAACATCGGTGATTGGATCGAAGCCTTGGCTGGCACCCTCCTCCAGCCAACGGCCTCCACATGCGTCACCGCCAATGGTGTATCCACCATTGACTACTTCGTGGTGGCCAGCAACTTGGTCTCCCGTGTCTCCCGCCAGCCAAAGGTCATCTATGGCTGTGGGTGCATCCCGCGGCCTCGCTACCCTGTGGGCCTGGCTCTCTATGGTGCGGACACTCCGACTTGGTGCCGTGTTCCCGAGGAGCCACGACCTGTTCCCGCGGTGCCTCCTGTCGGCTGTGCGCGCTTTCCCTACCAATGCCACAAGCTAGACAAGCTGTCCCACCGTGCTGCCACTACGTCTGTCAGGGCCACTGACACGGACCATGTCCAGGCCAAGCCCGGTATGAAGGATAGGTCGTTGAAGCCTCCGTGCGAGTGCGAAGGACGCGCGAGCCCGTGTCGTCGACAACGAATCAGGACCCATGGTCTTGAGCTCGATGGCACTGGCGGGTCGGATGGTGTCCTGCAGCAGCTCTGGGACGCCGTCCTGGGTGGCCTGGACTACGAGATCGCGGGGCGGCATGGCAAGGTTGACCTTGCAGCGCGCAGTTTTGTTGGGCACCATAGTCCCCCCAAGGTGGTATGGCGGCAGTTGTGCTGGATGCCATTCAGGCGACGCTTGTGCCATGCTGCCACAGTCTGGGCGTGGGCAACTGCGGCCCGATGGGCGCATCACCTACGAGTTGAGCGTGTTCGAGCCCAAAGGTTTTGCCGCCGACTCAACGCGGTCGCGGTCTGTTCGGCGCCAGCCCCACAGCAGTTTCAGAAGACGGCCAGGGTCTTCTACGACATCCTTGGCTTCCTGAACACGATTGGGGCGGAGCAGAAGGTCCTCTCCCACCTTCCCTGCTACCGCCTGTTGTTTGTTGGATGGGCTAGTGGCGGCAGACTTAGATGGCATTATCGACGCTATTGCAGGCCGCGCAGACGAGTTCACATCGTCGGCCCGCCGCGAGGCAGAGGCAGCCTGGCGCAGTTGGGCACAGGCGGCCTTTAGTGGAGGAGCTAAGGCTGCCCATGCTGCCTCTAAGGTCAGGGCGCGCCAAGAGATGGTTGCTCCTGCTGCTGATGCCCAGCCCTACGTGCTGGCGGACCGCACGTTGGACGAATGGCGGCGCATCTGGGAGACGCATGGGCTGGAGGCGATTGCGCTCCCTCCTGACTCCGACAATTGGGGTGAGCTGCCCCGCATTACGGTCCATGCCCTGCGGCAGGCCATTCGTTCGTTCTCGCTGAGTACGGCTGCAGGCCGTGCGCGCATGCCCCCGAAGGCCTTGAAGCACTTATCCGATGAGGCCCTATGGCGCATGGCCACGATGTTTGAGCTGTTTGAGCGGCATTTGCGTTTCCCGCCTGCGCGACTGCACAGCGAGCTCGTCCGCCTTCCTAAGCCAGGTGGAGGTCACATGCTCATCGTGCTCAGCCATGCTCTCATACGGGATTGGGCCGAAGTGCGACGTGGGCTCTCTGCGGAGTGGCAGCAGCGGCACCACTGAGATCAGATGTGGGGCACACGGGGCAGTCACACTTCCACTGCCTCGGCGTTCGCGCATAACTTGGAACAAGAGGTTGGCAGCCTCATAGGCGACCATACCCGCACGGTGCTCTTGGACATGGCCAAGTGCTTGGACATGGTGAGCCCGCATGCGCCTATGAGGGAGGCAAGGGCCCTGGGCTTCCCCATGCGCCTGCTGTGGATGCTTCTGCAACTGCACCCCACGGCGCATAAAGGCGTACGGCAGCTTGTCGCGTGAGTTTGTTGCTTTTCAAGGTGTGTTGGCTGGGTGCACGCATGCCGCGTACCTCATCCACCTGCCCACATACCGTGTCCTCCAGCGGGCCAGCAGGATCGCCCCGACTACCACGCCGCGGTCTGTGGTGGATGATATCGGGCTCCAAATGGTCTCTCCTGACCTCGCCGATGTCAAGGTGCTGCTGCGCACAGCCATTGTGCTCACGGCTGAGGCTCGATATCTCGGCCTTATCCTTTCAGCCCGCCAAGTCTGCGGTGGTGGCAGGCTCAGCGAGCGCCCGCCTGGCGGTCACCAGGACCCAGCGGCACATGGCGCGTGCAGTTCCCCAAGCATCCCACATGCGCAACTTGGGACATGAGCTTTCTGGCAAAGAAACGGCTGAAGGCGGCTACGGAACACAAGCGCCGCCCCCTTATGTTGCGCCGTGCGGTGGGCAGAAAGGCCTCCACCTTGTGGCGCACAGGACTCATGCCGTCCGCTGGCCACGGTGCTGGTGCATCTGGGCTGGCAGATGTGCCTCTTCGTGAACAGCGGAACCTCGCTGCGGTTCTCAATGGGAAGAGTGACAAACACCATGCGTGCGTCACGGCGTGCCTTCTTACCCAGCCCTCGGAGGAGTGCGACCCGATCTACCGGGCTACGCTGGGCTTGGTTTTAAAGCACGCTGTTTGGGCGTGGGATGGGTGCGCCTCCCCCAGTCGATTACAAAAGGCCTAGACAGCGCTCCGCGAGCGTGTTGTCCCCATTAGCTGGGCCAACGCCAAAGGTCCACTTGTTGCGCGTGGCTCACGCTCAGACGCATTGCCTGGGACATGAAGGCGCCGCAAGTGCTGCAGGACGACTTGGGCAACCAATGCGACCTGTGCCTTGTCTGCCCAGCGGGCCAGCGACCTTCCTTGGCTGCTGGGGTACAGCGATGGCAGCGCGACAGGCTGACCAGTCACATGTACTCGCACGCGGGAGCACCTATCTGGCACCGAGGCCTTCGGCACGCCATCAAGGGCGTCAGACGCGCCCGGCAGCTCGGGGCGCTTCAGGCGTTATGGGCGGACAACATTCCTACGCCCTTTCGTCGGGACATGCAACCAGGCAGGGTTATGCGGCCGTGCCAGGCCTATGGCAAGGCCCTGACGTCCGACGACGGATGGGGCCATGTTTTCTCGGAATGTCTCGCGCTCCTGACTCGCCTGCCTGCGAGTGAATCCTTTGCTCGCGTACATGGTGTAACAGACCAGGCCCATGGCCTTACTGTGCAGCCCCCACCAATACAGCTTACGACGGATGAGCCAGAGGACCATGTCCCAGGCCTTCAGGCGGCTGGTTCGCAGATGCCCATTGCCTTGTCTGAGGCGAAGGACCATGTCCCTGAGCCTGGTCGATGTGCTGAACCTCCCCCAGCTTCTGGTCATCCACGGCGCAGTGCGATGGAGCGCGAGGAAGACTTCTTCCCCGCGGTCGGGCAGGAGACGGAGGAGCCCGTGTTTGATGTCCCACCCCGCGCAGAGGAGGACGTTCTTGAGCAGGAGACGCAGGAGATGCCGAGTGTTGCGAACGTGACGCCTGGCCAGGCCACATGCCCCGTGCAAAGTGGCCCTCTGGCTGATGAGGCAGATTCGGGGCCTGCATCGTCTCCGAGCGACAGGCGTGGCATCCTCAACCTCCCGCAGGCCTTAGCGGAGGTGCATGGCCAGCTCATGCAGGCTGGGCTAGGGTCAGGAATGCCGAACTTCGAGCAGTCGTATTTCATATTTGGCCGTCCTGAGCCGCCTGCGTGCGTGCCGCGGAGCGGTGCACCGAGCAGGGAAGTGCATCTTTGGGGCGACGCCCATGGCGTTTGGAGCCCAGTCTCTTACACGGGCGGGCCGGGGTATGACTCGGGCGTCCCTGAGGCCCGAAGATGTGGGCAGGCCGTGGTTCAGCTCGATCCTCGCTCGTGGCTTCCAGTTCGCGCGCGATATGGGCCTCTTCCGTATTTGGTGCGGACTGTTGGACGCGCTGAGCGGCATGCCATCAGAGAGGGACTTCAGGCCTTTCCTGATCACCAGTGCTTCGCGACGGACCTGCTGGCGCTGGCGCGGGAAGGCGAAAGGTGGTGTCCTGAGCTCGCGCAGGGACGGGCCAAGCATGCCCGCGCCTGGCGGGGCATCTTCGAGGCTTGCCGACGACGGACCCTATGCCGCCCTCCGGCGTTCAGGTGGGCGCCAGCCCACAGGTCTCTGGATGAACTCGTTGGTGCCGACCCCTATGAGTTGCGAGACTGGATTGGCAACGGGTGGGCAGACCACTTCGCTCGCTGTGGAGCCGCCTCCCGTGCGCTGGCTGGCTCCGCGGCGGAAGCCGTCGCTGCTGCTCTGGGGAGCACCGTGAGGTTTTAGAGTTTGTCTCCTGGGCTGCGCTGCAGGTTGTTGTCCGTAAGGCCTGGGGGCGTGGTGTGGAGCTTCCGCGGCCACCGGGCGAGCATGCCGCGCCCGTGGCGATTTCGCGCAATGCGGACCATGTCCTTGCGCATTCGGTTTCTTTAGGCAGGTGTCGATGCGCCCACTGCGGTGTCACGGCCACTACGGATGCCTCGTTAGACTCCCTGCAGACAGGCTCTCATCGCGAATGTCGGCCGTCGCGTGTGGCGCGCGCCCTCGACGCCGAGTACTTTCGCAGCTGTGGCGACAATTGGACACTACGTGGTGACCAACGTGCTTGCGTTGCTGCGGGGACTGCGTTGGCGAGCGAAGGACGGCCAACAGTTTTTCAGCCGGATTCCTGGCCCGCCCAGCCCGTGGCTGAGGGCGCGTCAGCGGTGTTTGCAGACTTGGGTCGCGACATGTTCCTGAACGACCAAGCTTACTGCTGTCGCAGGTGTGGTGCGCACTGCTCCATTGGGGAGGCCCGCGCTGTGCGAAAACTGGGCATCTCCTGCGCTGGTCCTTCTGGCACTGCGGCCAGGCGAAGGAACCAGCTTGACGCGGTGAAGCGAGTCGAGCGTGGACTGCCACCTCGCGCTCGTCGCCCCCTCGTAGCTTCGCAACCCGCGAGGGTGGATGGCCGCGCAATGTGCAGGTAGGGGCAGCCTGTCGCCCCTACCTGCAGGCCCTCCCGCCGCGGATGCTGGGATATCTGGCCATTTAGCGAGGACCGCCCATGGCGCGCTCTGTCGCAAGTCTAGGATGGTAGCGCTATTGTGCACTACGTCTCCGACGGCTTCGTGGGCCCCTTCTTCGTCGAGTCCTACGTCTTCACCTTCCGCCTCCTCGTGGCGCTCATCGCGCCATGCGTGCAGGCGCCCCGCCGCGGCTAGTTGCCCCTGGAGCTGGGCGCGGCGCGGCGGCCCCGCGCTCCTCCTCCCCGTCCTTCGTCTCTCCCTCCTCCACCTCCTCCTCCTTGGCGACCCGGGAAAACTTACGACTTCTTGGGTGCAGGCGCAGGACAAACGTTTCTGCACTCTTGTTGGACGGATCCTTGCCAGGCTTCAGCAGCGTGGTCTGCGCAAGTCTTAGCAGGATCTTAGTCCTTACTCGGATAGTGGACTCCGCAACTGCCGCACAAATTCACAGCCGTTGGCCCACATGTGGCGGGAGGGATGAGCGTTAGCATGGACCACAGGGTCCCAGGACACGGCAGCTGCACCAGCCGAGAGCGACTGGATCGTCCCTGCCCGCAGACCCCACAATCCTACCCGCCAGGGACCTGCGAAATTTGGTGACCTTAGCATCCGAAATGACCTCGAACAAGGGCGCCTCCGAATTGGTGCTATCCCTCGTCCTACGCCCCTTCAAAGCTTCAACGTCAGGATACCCCAGACGGCGCACGTGCTTCAACATCTCTGGCATGCACCTGGCGATGAGAGCCACCGGCTCACGATGGAAGCCCGTTCGATCTCGAATATGGTAGTTCATCGGGCGCGCTTTGGCACCCTTCTTGGCGGTCTCGTTGGCGAGCCTGCTCCCGTGGAACAGAAAGGAGGCTCGGCACTTTGAATGAAGGCAGCTCGCTTCGTCATGTGCGCAGCGATCTTCATAATTTTGACATTTTCTTTGCCAGCATCCTCAGTCCTCCTCCAGACCTGCCTCCGCATCTCCTC